TGGCTAAATAATGTTTAAAAAAGGATGGTTTGAAACAGGTGACAGCACTTATAAACACTATCATGACAGGCATAAAAAAATTTGCAAGAGTAAAGAATACGAAGACTATTTCAAAAGTCACGGGTCGGGGAAAAGTCAATAAAACTTACATCTGTGCGAAACTAAGCTAAATGTGATAGCTTGGATATCTGTGGTGAGGTATAAGGTTACATGAGTAGAAGAAATAAAAATAAAATTCCAGAGTATCTTCGTCAAACCCCTGGAACAGCTTCACCAAATCGATCAAACCCAGGCTCAGAAACATTGCGTTAAACTAAGCATAAGAAGTAGTATCCATGCTATATTTCATGTTAGATAGATATAATAGTTTGGAAGACTGTTAAGTATTAATATAAAATGGGGTCCATACAATTGGTAATAGTGTGTTACATGATATATGGATAGCCTATATGCAAGTATCGTATATGCTCGTTTTACCGCCCGATATTGATTAATAAGGGCCCGTTTGAATACCCACCCGATATAAAAGCTGAATTTTCAGTGGTAGAGAACAATAGGAAATAAGAAGCGCCTTTGTCACAACGCTGTTGAATTTTAAGCGTTGGTAGATAACACCCACGCCTTATGCGTCCAATTACACAACAGATAGCATTGATTACCGTCGCGACGCCCAAGTGGGTCGTTTCAATATTGATAGGGCGTCGCAAAACTTTTCTTCTTTTGATTTGTTGTTTCTTGTTAATAATATAAACTACGGGTAATATGAGGGAATTACTCTTAAGACGTGAATAATTTGCGTTTGACGTAAATAAAATGACATGGAAAAAGGATTAATGCCGTGAAATATTTGTCTTCAAAAATTCCGTAATTTTTGTGTATAATTTTACTTTAAAAATAACAAGCGCCCGTGCTTGAATAAGGGCCCGGTTAGTGAGTTTAATTTAAAAATATCGGCCTGGGCTTCAAAACGAGCAAATGCGGTATATATCAGTACCTCATTACCGGTTAAAAATATAACACCGGAAATTTATTGGCGCTCAGTTACGTTGGTCAATTTGAGATCCCATGAGTTTGATGTCGTGTACTTCACAGCTATGCCACGCGCTGCCTGCATGTTGTGCGCGTGAACTTTGTCCACGGTTTACAACCTCTAAACAATCTATCCTTTTATTATGAAGACTTTCTCCTCGTGGTGCACGCCTTCAATCAAAGCCACAACCAGAAGAAGACTTTCTTATTATTAAAATACTATTCAAAAGATGGAAAAAATCCACTAGGCTACTCTAATTTATACATCTACAGATACACGGGATGTCACGTTTATCTGCTGGTACTTTATTTTACAGCATTGCATTAGTCAGGTATCAAATCTTATCCTATACATCTATCTATACTATAAATTTGTTTATTGAACAAAAACTCTGGTACTAAGTTATCCGAAATGTGCAGATGGTGAATATAATCGGAGTAGTAAATATTTTCATTTTTTTCAAAAGAGATGCTGCTCATTTTTCAGAATCCGTTTTTAATAGATCTCAATTTACGTGGCCTCAACTTTAAATACAATGATAACTACTAGTAGAATCACAAACTTCCACTGACTGAATACTGACCCCATTTTACTTGCCAATTTCTTATGCCCGTTACATGCTGAGATTTTGATATGGGCAACGAAATACAGCGATCTTCTTTCTTCTCAAAAGCAGCCGCTAATGAGCATCATGCTACGATGATTTGAAAAATTGACACATAATAATTTATACTCTCTATTGTAACTACTATTCAATATTTCAACGAGAATATCGGTCAGAGACCGAAGACTTATCGATCGAAAGTAGGGGTTCCCCAAAACAGCGCTCCCACTCCATAGTGACACCTTGTGCCCCATCACTAATTAATCAATAACTCGCTAAACATACGACATAATTTGCCCAAAATCAATAGGCTTCTGGTCCGAGATAAGATGAATGCACATGCAAAATCTCAATCTCGCTTTCGTGAGATATCGCGTGCATCTAACAGACAAACAAACAGACATACAGACAAACAAATACCTATCAACATACTTACCGATTGAAATCGATAAGTAATAACTATTCGAATGTGCAAGTGTTATCTCATCTATGCATCTTCACCGTCGATGTACGAGGTATGGCTAAAACTACAAAGAATCTCCATACATAAACAAGATGCAAAAAAATATGTTTTTATTTAATTTTGATTATATAATAGACGTTGACGCATAGAATGGTACAGTTAGTGCTTTTTTATACATGTATCGCGGTATTGGCGACGGGTGTACAGAGTAAAATGAGTCCAAGTGAGAGTTATACACATTCTGCAACGTTGCAATCTGGGAACATTTTATTGTATTGGAAATTTGATGACATTCATATTACTTTTGAAGCAAGTATTGTTAAAATTAAGTTCATTCTTGAATAAATTAAATGATGTTATATGGCTTAGTTTTGAATTCAAAAAACAAAAAATGTTTCAATTACAGTGAGGGTATATATATGTGATTTGTACGATTTAAAAGTTATCTTTTTTTCATAAACTTGATCTCTGTGTCTGGTATTTCTGCCATTAATTAAACCAATATGTTTGCTATAAACACAATGAACATAGTCATATATTTTATCAATTTATTTAGTTTGTTACTAATTATTCTCTTTCAGGTGATTGGACAGACAACGGGATGAATTGGAATCGGATTTTCACCAAACGGAGCTATGACAGCATCTGATATAATTGTAGGATGGGTGACAAATGGAATTCCTACAGTGACGGTATATACACTGCAACTGCAATGTATATTTGGCTTAATAGGACACTTTTGTATTTTCCTATACAATACTTATTCAAATATTTCCTAAGTGGCTGAAAAATTATGACTTAATTATAAGATAAAATATAATATAAAAAATAAATATAAAAACGTTTGTAATAAAGTATTGAATTAAATATGAGAGAAACTCAGTTAACTTATTTTTGAAAATGCCCCATTGGTATCTATATCGAATTTTACATGAAACTTTTTTTTGCAGGACAGGCATGGAGATTCATCTAACACTTACCCACCTCTTGACCCTAAACAAAATATTGAAGTACTGGGAGGTGCAGAATCAAATGGGTGGATAATGTATAAATTTTCACGTCAGATTGCTGCCTGTGAGAGTGGTTATGATAGAGAGATTACGGTACAAAACTTTATTCTTATATTTTAATATTAGAATATGTAAATGATACACTTTAACCTGATAAGCTGTGAACGCGACAAGTACGTTTCGACCGAGATGGTCGGCCTGTAGACTATGTAGCTGGCTGTATTCGTAAATTCCTTCGTCCAATCTAATACTCCAATATGATTGCTACCGACTTGTAATGTATGAAGTTTATTCCAATATGATTAATTCGGTTCCTGTAATTCAATTCTTGAGGAACAAACGACAATACGACAACAATTACGCGCGAATAAGCTTAAATCTGTACGCAGAATGTCGTACATTCAAAGAATTTTGGGGTTACCAACAACAAGTCTACCTCTGTAGGACAAACATGCTTGATTAACATAGACCAAGTGAATGAAAAAGCAGTTTACTATTCAATAATAAGCTTAAAATAGACAATCCTTGACGGTAAAGAAAATTCAGAAATCTAAACACTACTCTGACCTAAAATCAAAACTAGAAAGGCGCTACCAAATGCAAAGCGCAGCCTGAAACAACGAACTGGCCTTGAGTCTGAGTCCGTAAAACGCGGTCTCTGGGCACGTGACAGCTGGTTGACGTCATAATAGATGTTAAATGACCCGTGGTATGACTATCAGTGAAATGGGAAAATATTGATCGTTACACGATATAAATAATAAATGTAACTATAAATGTAAACTATAAATGTAATTGTTCCGTTTCTAAATGTAGTCAAATACGGAAAAATTAATTTGGGCATATGGCGACAATGATCCACCAGGAGACGATCTTGCTCCCGGTGATTATCATGGAAACAAAAGAGGTATTGTTCATACTTGCATAGTTTTGTTGTGTTGTGCAATTTCAGCGTCATAGCGATGCAATATGAATTAGGCTACGGTGCTAGGCTTAAGTATCCCGTGTGTAAAAATAAGTGAATCAACCACAAAACAGGCAAACATTTATAAGCTATCTATTTTAACGTTAATAGAAGATTTATTTATAGCAGAAGTAGGGGAAATCATCGTGGATCACTATTATAACCCAATACTTCAATTACTTTGTGCGATATCCGTTGTAAAAAAAAATTATAATTTATTGTCTAATAGAATTGACTTTCCTCGTCAGAAGCCCTGTTTGTATTCCAGTGAAACGTATCTGTGAATTCTGAATTTATATATATTCCCCAAAGCTCTCCAAATTACTCATGCCTAAAATTTGCTGTAAGACTTCCTAGATACTGAATGTAATTATTTCAATTCTGGAGTGCAAAGCATGTTTTTTCTGCAATCTTCCAGAGCTCAAAACGGACTGCCAGTCGGGCCTGACTACAACACGTTTGAGGTTCTTGCAACAGAATTTACCATTCCATCAGAAGATACGTATTACAATTGCAAACTCTACACTGTTAAAAATTTTTTTCCAAATTTACTAAAAAAAAATGGCAGCAAAAGTACTGGCCCATGTAAAAAAATTTACAGGCCCTATCAGTAGTATTATGAACAGTATTTTCAGTAAATTTACAGAGATTGATGGTAGCAAAAATTACTATAAAACTGTAAAAAATACTACTTTTTTGACGGCAGTGAACCTACCCACCAGTAGTAATATTTTTTACCTTAAAATAGTAAATAAAATTACTATCTCGATGGCAGCTACCTTACCCGACAGTAGTACCATACAATACTAGCATGGTGGTAATTTCTCACTCGCGATGACCGAACCACTACGAGAGTAGCAAAGATATTTACTGGCACGACACAACAGTAAACACACAGAATATTACAGTTAAAATAAAAAAAAACGAGATTCTGGAAACGAAAATCATTTTATTACAATTGATATTTTTATAAAACCATAAATACACACTGAATGCCTTTAAGGCTTGTAAAACAGTTTCGAAAGAAATTTCAGAAAATATATGGTCTACAGTCAAATTTAAACACCTATTAGGAGACGTTGAAGGCTATCCATGCAATAAAATGAGGGCACGAGTTCTTGTAGGACATAGAAATTCTGTATGTAATGAATCAAAATTGAGTTTCTATCGGCACTTGTTAGAAATCTGGTCTATACATTTCGAGGTCTATTTATTTATCTCAATAGATCCAAATAAAGTCAAACAAGAAAACGTTTTAGGACTGGGTTGTTTAGTTGACAAACTTATTTTGAAATCAAATTTCTGGATACCAGGCTATGAGACGCTGGCAAACGTGACATAATAACGAGACTATTGTAAGAATTTCACGATTTTTTGCACTTTACTCTAATTATAATGTTTCAAAATGAAAATTTTGGGAAATATCATGCAACCTATTTTGTAGCTATGGCAAGAGTTTCAAAGATATGACAAATTCTAAAGTTAATTATGCAAGATAATTTTCAAGATAAGATTTCAAAGGGCGTGAAGTCGAAGAGCGGGAGTTTGAGGATTTTGGTAGGAGCATGAGTGGGAGTTCTAAATTTTGAAGCTTGCAGAGTCTATAGAGTTAATCATAGACGGAGTTTATCCACACTTATGAATAGAGTTTGACTGGACATTTTTTAAGCTCATGAGCTAGGAGCAGAGTTTGCAGAAGTTGCAAATTCGAAAATGTTAAAATTGATAAAACTGGACAAAAAGTTACACTAAAGCAGCTAGCATAGCAGCAGTCAAATCTTAAAAGATCAGGGAGTCAAGAGTTTTAATTCATATTTTGAAGGAGTCTTGAGCAGGAGACGGAGTCATATATTTGCAAATGTGGGAGTTGATAGTCATTCCTTGGAAGCCAGAAATTTTGTGGGTGAAGAAGATCATGGAGCAGAGTTTGTTTAAAATTATCCAGACTTCACACCCGACACACAGCTAAATCATTTTTTATCAAATTAATCGATCAGCCAAAAGCAGGGCTGCGAACTCGAACTTCGAAAAACTCTATCAAATACATGAACTCAAACCCCTGACCAGGGTAATGAACTCGAACTTGAGAAACTCAATCAAAGGCATGTGAAAATTTGATAGAGTTTTCACCCCTGGTCAAAAGTGATGTAAGCTGCAGTAACACCACCAAAGTTTACTTAAACATCAATTTCTAACAACGGCACATATAACGCCTGTGATAGATTCACTCTTCTTGCAAGGCCGATTACTTTTGCATGAACGTCTTTGCCTTTACTTTTTTTCGACTTAGTGCCTCTGGGGTTTATGTCACCGAAGAACCTGAAAAAAGGCCGAACTTAAATAGCGAATAGGTTTCACATATGAAATTTGGAAAACGTCCTGTCATCTCACCACCAAAATAGTAAAAACACAAACAATGGACAAAAATAGTAAAAATGTCAGGTATTTATAATGTATCGTGCCTTGCCAAGGGATAAACAAAAAATTGTCAGTGGGCCAGGAATGCAATTGCCAAACCAAAAAACCACATAATCCTCCTAGCCCCCAGTTGTCGCAAATCGCAATAGGCTCATCCGCTCGTTGACATTCGATTGCAAATGCAGCAATTGAAAAATATTGTATTAATTTCTGTCATTAGTAATGATTTTTTGCAAATATATCAAAAATTTCCTGCTACAAAATGGAGAGCACAGTGACATCGTTTGAAATTGAAGTTCACTAAAATAGGATTGTTGTGAGTTCATTTTTCACATATGGATGTAAAACATATTAGATTAGGAGGAAACATGTGTGGTACCGCCAGGCGCCAGTCAGTCATGATGTTAAAATAAATCATGACTGACTGGCGCCTGGCGTACCGATGAATGGTTGAAATAAATCATGACTATTATTAACCACCTAAAAACTGTTTAACTAATTAAATTATTCCCAGCCCTACTTATGGCCCAGTCCCCAGGGTATGGACACCATGAGTTTGTGCAAGTCCAGTCACATATTTCATTTTCACAACCCATTTTTTGTATTGTATGTCATCAAATAACACTACATGACAGAAGTAACAGGTAATTCGTCAACAACGTGTACATTGTGCCAACAGCAAGAATTATATCAGCACTGTAGACTAGCACATTTTTTCTTACCTCTAAATAAAATCAAACGTCAGCAAGACCTTCTTTGGATATTCTATGTTGAAAACATAGAACGAAGCAAACTGAAAAGCTACCGTACCGCTTCAAAAAACGATCTACAGGAACACACCACTTCTCGTTCAGCGATGACGTAAAAAGTCTCAGCAGTCGCTACCGTGTTATCTGATGTACACGGTATTTAAAGAATATTTTGGTCTACCAACTACAAGTCTACTACTGTAACACAAACATGCTCAATTAACGCATGAAAAGCTACAAAAACCAACCGCCTAAAATAAACATCCACTAACGACAAAGAGCCTCGCTTACCGAGTCCTCATTCCTGAACCAGAAAAAGCGCGGGCTACAGGCACGTGACATTTGAGTGATGTCATAATTGGCACATTACCGGTACTAAATGACCTATGACGGTAAAGAGAAGGATTAAAATATAGGAAACTTTGATCTCTGCAAAAAGTACCAGTACCGGTACCTCAATAATCAGACCACTACCCGTGGTAAATCCGCACCTACCGTACAGACCGTTGCTAACACAATCATCAAACTCAGACTCACGCTATTGCATACTTAACATACGTACCGCATTCAGTTTTCATACGCACGCAACCGATGCTGAGCTCCCAAACAGCTTAGCGTCCCAGCCGAGATGGGCGGCACAAGGAAACTCGAAATCAAAAATGCTGCGCACGCAACCTGCCTCGTGGAGTTTTTGCGGATGAATATTTGGACAAATAGGTCCGCTTACTTCCGGAAAAATAATATATAAAAACAATATCTTATCTTGTCTAATGCAATAGCAAAACAATCAGAATTTTTGGGTGATGAACCAAAATAATTTTAGAATAAAATTAATTCAAATTAATACCCAGACCAAAATTTCGATGAAATTCTAAAGGAGTATTTAAATTTGCTTCGTGACTATATCGCATGCGTAGGTAGATAAATTCGTTTATTGGAAAGAATAGTTACTCGTAAATTAGAGGATCTTAGATTTTTTACTTTTTCCAAGTATACTAATCTTTTTACTATTTTTCTGTTATATTAATTACTAACTGATCAGTGAAATTACTATTCAATAGTAAACTATTAACAAACAAGCACCCTGATTGGCTCAGCTAAGCAAGTCACGTGATTTCAATAAAATACTGTTGTAGAAAGTAAAATTCAACGAAAAATTAGTAAAAATTTACTAGAAAAATTAGTATATTTACTAATTTTTTTAACAGTGTATAAGCTTCCGGATTTTGGTGGAAAACAGCATATTGTTAAGGTATTACCATCATTATTAGACTTCAACGCGTTATTACTAAGAATAGAGAAATCGATTCTTGTGTCGATTATCCGTGGAATCCACTGCAATAATTTCCGACACATTAGAATCGATGGGTGAAACTTGGATTATAAACCAGGTATATATACCGTTTTGTAAAATGTCAAGGGTACGTGCCACAATTTGGACCATATCGTATCGTTTTACCCTTACTCAGTGCACCATAAATATTTTTCACTGCTATAGAGAATTGGTTATGTCTCTTAACTTTAGTAACGTGTCATTACTTATAACTGTCTTGATACCGCGAGAGCCCAGATTTAGGAAACGTTCATTTAAATATGAGGTTAATTTTTCAAACTCCGATTATATTAGCCAGAATTATCAGCAATGACAAACGACAAACATAACTAGTATTTCAGTGAAGATTTCTTAAAACGTTTATATATATTTAATGCTTTGTCAGCATTCGTTCACTCAGTGGTCAATCTTCCAATAAAGAGAATAATTTTAAAATGTCTATATATATTTATTTAATGCTTAGTTAGCAATTCGTTCACTCAGTGGTCAATCTTCGAATATATATATATATATTTATAAGTAATACATGGAACCTATAAGTTTCATAACTTTTGTTGATATTGAGTTTTTACAATCTACTATGTAGAATGGCCAGTTTCAATTTTGTCAATATTTACCGCCTTTTAAACATTTTCATACATGTTCACTTTTTTTTTCATTTTACTCTACAGTGGGAACCGATCATCCAAACTGGAAATGAACTCTACGTACATCACATAATTATTTACAGATGTGGAGACATGCTAGCGGTGACTTATTTATTCATTTAAATTTTCATCCTTCCGTCTTTTCGTTTAATAAAGAAGCGATATATCACATCATTTACGTTTTGGGAAAATATTTAGGCAATTTCAAAGTTATCTCTTTGAGAACAGTGTCGATCGCTATTTGTCATTCAGCGTATTATTTATTTAATTATGTATAAGTTAGGATAATATTATAGGCTTATAGCACCATAAAACCTTATTCATATCATGGATTATATGAATATAATACTTTGTATTAATGTTATTTTTTACAAATTTTTTGAAATCAATTTCAGAACGAAACAGAACTGGAACATGACGCCCGTTGTTACTCATCAAATATGGCTCATTTTGCCACTTGCTCGGTTATCATTCTTGAATGGGCAGTTGGAGCAGAGGTAACGTATTTAAGTAGGCCTACTGTTTATCGATTTTGCTTGGCAGTTTGGTATCAAAAACCATTTAATAATTGATCAGTTGAATAACGCTATAAACATCTTAAATACCCATAACATATATAGCGTTTCCGTGTAGTTATTATGATTCCAAACACTTTTTGCGTATACCCATTCGTGCATATATATTGTAGTTTTTGTCTGTTTTGTGAACTATGAAATAATAAGTCAGGTAACACACAATATATAATTTTATTTGTCACCATTTCACATATATATTCATTATATAAATATTTAATCATATCTGATGACATCATAGATAGATTTGTAAATCTGGTCGTTTTCAGGAAATGGTATACCCAGAAGAAGCTGGCTTATCTGTGGGCGGACCGGGAGATCCAGTGTACATACAGATGGAAACACACTACGATAATCCGAATGTGATATCTGGTAAATTCATCTGTCCGTAAAGTATATTCAGTTACATCTTTACCACACATTCAAACTTTTTTTTATTATGTTTCCTACAGTCAATAATTTAATAAAGATGAATCTAAATCAACTTTTACGATGGATGGAGAACTACTTGACCTCCGAAAAAAAACTTTTTTTGGCAGATATACTAGGTTGAAATGTTTTGTTTGTACATTCTGAATGGTATTGGCCTGTTATAAATATGATGCATAAATATGGATTGCTTTGCTATAAGTATTCTCATTATTGTTTTTGTTGTAAAAAAATTGCTTTCCTCGTTAAACACAGGGCCAGCTGCTTTGAAATTTTCAGCGGTTTAAGATTGTTGTTGTCTCTAGAATGCTATTACTTTGATTATTTTTAAAATTTCTTGTGGTTTCTGTAGATTGTTTTTTCACGTAGCTTTGTCTGATGACGCCATCAAAAATAATAATTGTGCACCGAGTTGCGGTTCCGCGATCTCATTCAGCTATCTGATAGTCAGACTACCGGCACTGTAAATAATTTAATACCACATCGTTTCGGATTTCGTGTCCATAGACTCGAGTATTGCTTTCTTGTTATTTTACGTAATACTTCAATGTCTTCACTTTTATCATTTATACACCGACTGAGCAATGATGGGACACGCTTTTTAATTTTAGGAGTACGTGACAGTTCTGGAATCAGATTTACTTACACTTCAACATTGAGGAAATATGAAATTGGCATCATTGAAATCGGAAATTTAGTTAATAGTCTTCAGCATTTCATCCCCCCTGGTGCGGAGAGTTTTAAGAGCATAGGACATTGTTCTGACGCATGTATCGCTAATGTAAGAAATAGGTTACCGAATTTAATAATAAGAATTTTTATTGTACCAAGTAAAGACTGCAGTTACAAATCACTAATATTTCCTATTTAGAGAATGGTTGACTCCGGGGTTAATAACGTTAGGGTTAGGGTTGTGTTCAGTGTTGTTCTGCATACTCATCTTGCTGGGAGGAAATTAAGATTGAGACACATGAGGTAGAGTAGTTGATCTATTTGAAAAAGCAACCCAATTGCCTCTGCTAATTACTAATTCGCGAACTACTGCTCATTGATTACTCCCGATCGTATTTTTTGAAAACTGACTTAGAATCAATTGTTTATTACTTTTGATTCTCTTGGTTCATGTTGTGTCGTCTGAACATCAGGTCACCTCTTATGACTGCTATCCGATGCAACTCTATATTACATCGATGAAGTCGAACCTTTCAAATTCTATCCTATCATGGCACGGGTAGAGTTCTGAATGTAATTGTTTTGTACAGAAATGGCGTTGAGCTTCCGTACTTAGGCAATGATGAGAATTACGATTTCAATTATCAAGAAGCGCGACATTTCAATCCAGGGATTATCGTGAAAAGTACAGACTCTTTACAAATAGAATGTGATTATACCACAAAGGGTCGAACAGTAATGACGGAGGTTAGTTATTACGTAAAACAACCAGTCATTCAATGTAATAATTCCTCCTATATTATACTGCCTCAACACGTCAAGCAATCCAAACTGGTATACTATTTTTTAATATTTACAATTACAATTTCAAAATCCAACATTATTTATCTTATTACACTTGAATTGACGACGGTAGTTTTTCAAAAAATTATAAATATTTACTCTGATGCTGAAATTTTGCATTTGTTCTTTGTAGGGAGGATATGGTACTACGGAAGAGATGTGTGTTGCATTTGTATCATACTATCCAAAATTTGATTTATCTTTTTGCCTATCAACTGTCACTCAATACGTTTCGTGGCCATACTTAGGAATTGATCTAAAACAGATAAAAAAGTAAGATCAATTTATTCATATATATCAATAGACCTAAGCTTAAATATAAGGACACGGAGTCCAAAACGAAACTTTTTATCCACACTCCCCTACTATTCTGAACGACGCTGAAACGGTGGAACAACTACCGTAACTTACCACTATCTGCCCCAGGATTCGGTACGGCGGATCATCCTAGTTTTCATGGTACCCAATGTCGATGATGATTCATATGTCCGATCTGAGTTTGAATCAAAATACCAATTGACTCGAGTCACAACTGTATCATAAAATTTTTTACAGTACCGCTACCTGTATCCTACAACAAGCATTGGATCGCTGAGTGCGATTTTAATTTTCGAATATTCGAAAATCTTCGAAGTAAAAAACGAATCCCACAGAGCCAATAAGAAAAGTAATTGCTTTCTGGCGACAACAACAATCCTTAAAAAGCAATTGGTCCAGTAGTTTATAAAAAAAGCGATTATTTCAAAACAAGAGAAGAATACAAACAACAACAACATGATACAAAAAGGATCCATAGATCCACTTTTTGTCCACAATCATGGTTTGAATTTTGAGAATAGCTGCATCCTCATAAAAAATTGACTATTGCAGGAAAAACAACACTGCCGGAGATCATCTTTCTCATTACATCCTGACTGGACCAGAAAATGTCGCCGGAAATACGCTTTTAGAATACATGAGCGAAGTAAGATTAGAGACAGCTTACTGTAATATAATTAGTACAGTATAAAGTATTTTCATCTGTCACACACATCCTGTCCCGCCTCTCGCCTAATTGCAGAACGGGGGGACATTGTTCTGTATTTCTTAGCCGATTACGGATAATAGTTTCATTAAATCATGCAACAAATTATATTACGCTTTGTTAGTACTTATTTGTAAGCATCCATGGCAGTCTTGATTGCTCCTAAAGAAATTCGGTTATCATTGGGAATGAAATAGGATGGAGGATTGATTTAACGCTGGATTTACCCGTTGAGAAGAGAGTACAGGTAAGTGAGGCATGCGCGGTGCAAACCCCAATGCGTGTAATATTCCCATATCTAAAACAGAAATAACTAACAGTTGGGGTTACGTGAAACTAACTACCTTTCCTTGCTTTATGCATTTGCGCTGGTGGATCCGTATGCGTATAACAAGAGTGAAAATGAAGTGAAGATTCTATTAAATTCAAGAGTCTTGCTGCACACTTACATACCTGTGCAGCAAGACTCTTGAATTGAACTAAAACAGATAATTCTTCATTTCCAAATTTAATAATATAAACAAAATATGTGAAAATTACATTATTTATTGCAGCTCGACTGGAATCAGCAAAACATCACAAACTTTGAAAGTTTTTATAACTCAGCACGACACGTGGAGTTGTGCGTTCCAGCAAACCAAACTAAATCAGTAAGTTTCGATGTAAATATTATAATAAATTATTTGAAAAATTTAGGGCCACAAAAAATTAGCTGAGTTGCATTGTTCAATTAGAAATCCTCAATTTTGATTTGATTTTAACCTGTATATACCAGAAGCGTTACAAATTTGTAAAAATAAACTATATTAACTTTTTGAAAACAATTTGGTTGAGGAGTGTGTCGTATGTGATTATTTAAGCAAATTTTGTCCTTGTATTTCAGATCGTTCAGGCATTTGTACCAGTTAATATTACAAGTCCATACATTCCTCCAGTTAAAGAATGTGTGGTTGCAACAACAAGTCAAACGACAACCAGCCATGGTCATGTAATCAAATCGCCTAGTTTCATCTGCATATATTTAGTGGGTTTTCTTTGCAAATGCTACAACTGGTGAACGACACATTTTGACACCATTACTAAAGATAACCATGACTTCAATAATAATAATTTTCTTCTTATTAATGAATAGATTTCACATTTTATGCTTAATTCAGTCGATTAAATACGTTTTTATTCATTATCATTGTATTATGTAATTCAAGCTATTTTTATTCCTGCTACAACATCCTAACATTATACGCATACGGGTCCACTAGTGCAAAGGCATTGAGGAAGGATTGGGAGTTAGTCTAGAGCAGGGTGGTCCAAACCCAGGCCCGCGGACCACATGTGGCCCGCCGCTTCATTATCTGTGGCCCGCGGCGCATTTGCGGGAATTTAAACAAAAAATCGCATTTGGTGTTGTTTCGCCATAAAAATAACCAGAAAAATCTTTTGACATATTGTTATATCACTAGTGTCAATGAATTGATTACTGCAAAGTTGAATAATGTGCTTGGCTAGTCTAAATAGTTTATTAGCTTTCTATCTTTTTAGTCGTGAATATCTGCTAACAAAATAGACTCCATAGAAAACTAAAAATCGAATGAGGAATCTATTAGCCTAGGTCAGATATGCCTGATAACTAAATAGTAATGTTATAGCCGAAGAATACAATTCCTGTCGGATGGTTTTTTACAACCAGGCTAAACCGTATTACAAGAAATGCTGCCTATACGTAAGAAAGTTTAGTAATTACCCTTCCAAATTCGATAAAATTCGGCAATCAATCAATTTGCAGTTATTGTGTAAACATGGGTTTGAAAAGAAAGCTGACGAATTCAAACAGATTTCTGACTGGATAATGGGATGGAAATACCGCTTGCTTGATATCTCTGTAAGTTGGGTCGGTGAGAGTCTGAAACGGCAATTTCTCCTTATGACACCTTCTGTAGTAAATGTAGATTTAGTAAGATATTTGCACGTTTTATTGAGTTTTTTGGTGGTTTTTGCATGTTTTAGCTTGATAAATGACAAATAATGATCAATGTGTTTGGACAATAAACGTGTTTGTTTTGTATTACACTGTTCACCTATTCTTGGCACTGTTGTGGACCGCGAACAATACAAAAATAATAGTGTGGCCCGCGAGGCGGTCAACCTTGGACCACCCTGGTCTAGCGCATTGGTTCTCAAACTAGGGTCCGCGGTCGCTCAGGGGTCCGTGAAGCGATCTTAAGGGGACCGCGAGACAACTTTAACCTCGGCACAGAAGCACTTTAATTTCATGTAAATTTTGATGTCATGTTTTTACATTGTTTCTTCAAAGCACGTCACGCTCTACTGAAGAAATTATTACGTAACAAACGTTGGTTAAAGTGCCAAGTATGGTAAATCAGAGCGTATTGTTTATGGAAGGCGTGTGCATCTGATTGTGTATTTTTGGAGGTTATTGAAGAATGCCCCCCCTGGCCGCAAGGAATAGATTTCGATATAATGATTCACATGTGAGATTAATTTTTGCTGTGATAGTTCTGGAGGAAAGAAAAACCACGGTGGCACCGTCCTATCCCGGTGTCGCTAAGATGGTACTAAAATACTCATTTCATTTGCAACAACTTACGAATGTGAGGCAGCTTTTTCAACGTTACTCGCTATTAAAAAAATATGTTGAAACAGAATGGACGTGGGACACGATATGAGAGTTATCCAAAACAGAAACCAAGGTAGAAGAACGAGTCGGAGCCAATCAGGCGCACCCGTCTCATTGAACTGTTTTAATGTCATTCAATATCTGAATGCTTGTTATACCACGTTGTTATTTGCTTTCATTTCTTTAGTGAAACGCGAGTCATTAGAAAAATTGCAAGGGGGCCGTTATACATAATTTTTGAAAAAGTTTGAGAACCACTGGTCTAGCGCAACCTCTACAGACAGTTTTATTACTGTATATTGTTATAGGTTTTTTATTTTCCAATATAGGTTGCTACAAATTATATGCATATTGAGTGTTGAGAGTTCTCCACTAGGCTACTTATTACATGAAATATTATCACAAAAATCCCGATACACCATTAATTAAACGTCGTAAAGCAATGCACAAAATAAGTCATGTAATGTCACAATATACAGTATATTGTCAATTTTTTAAATGATATCGAGTATTCATTTTAGAACAACCCAATTCTATCGTCGCTTCTGATATTGAGAGTGAAGTTGATAGCGCGGGCATGGGCAAACTACGGCGCGCGGGCCAAATCCGGCCTGTTGTGTAATTCAAGCTGACCGGCGAACTAAAACCAAATTTTGATGTTTTAGGTAAAAAATAACTCAAGGAATTTGTTGTGATTGCGATTAAATTTAGTTGGGTCTTATTGTTTTTCACTTTTGCTTTTGTAAGGATGTGAATATTTATTGCTCATCAATGTAACACCTTCTTTTCGAAAATATGCCAAACTGATCCGACGCAATGCCACATGGTGGCGCAATATTTTAAGAAATGGAAAAATGTTGGGTTGAATATCCAGCCCCATTGGAAATTTAACAAAATGAATGTAATAGCCCTTGAGCGGTTCTACTACATCTTCGAGTACTGAAAAGATTAATTAAATGACTCGCCTATTAGCTTCGGAGGAGAGGCGATATCTTCCCGACAACAAATGTCACCCAAACAACAATTCATCAAAACGATACATATGTAAACTTCAATTGGGCATTTGATGCAATTGGGAATGAAGCCAAAGAATTTAAATCATTTGAAGTATGCTTGTAAGAAGTTGAAGAAGTAGAACAAAAAAGCATGAAGTGCAAACGTCGGATTTTTACCACGTCTCATTTTTACCAATTACTATACCATGCCTCATTTGATTGTCAGAGATCGGAAACGTAAACATTTTGAGATTATACACAAAAAATAGCAATCATATTGCAGAGCTTCTACTCGGTATACAACTATATGAATGACCTTTGCTTGATAAAATATAATGCTTTGTAACTTACCATACATGACTGATGTGTTTATCTTACTCAAATGTGTAGATAAATTGCTTAGCATTTCAGAATGCGACATTTTTGCATGTCGTGAATGTAAAAATGGAATAACTTGTTTTGCAATTCACCCAGAACGGCCTTTTTGCCGTCTGAAACGCGATTCGCGTGCCAAAACATTAACAAGGCCAGTTGATACTGAGTTCTTAATCTCCACCGTTAGTATCAATTTTCAAAATCGTATATTCCATTCCAATTTCAGTCTAGACTTATTTGAAGGCAATTTAGAATGAGAACCGATTCTAATGGAGTTTACATTCTTGGAATTGTCCGATTTTATAAAGAAATAAACGAAATGCAAATGTTGCCGAAATACAACAAGGCGCGTCGTTTGATATTCATCGCCACAGTAAAGATATTGCTTATTGAAAAATTTGATTATAAAGATACTCTAAGATAAAAGCAAGTTGGAAAGTAACTTTCAAATACCACTAATGAAAATTCCGTCTTGTTTTCATTGACCATTCCTATGAACCCCGTTGTCTGATGAAAAATTGCTTTCTTATGAATTTTTCCTATTTGTATTTACAACATGTTTTGTGTAAATAAGATTTGTACAAGTATCTGCCTTCATGTAGGGATACATTGTTATGGACGAATGATTACCGTCAATAACTAGATAAAATTTGCCTCAAGCAATATTGTGTTCCATCAGAATAATATTGTGTTCATTTTCGATTTCACCACAGTAGGTATTAGGTCCATTTATTTGTAATAATTAATGAGTAATGCATTACACCTACACTAATAGTTTATAATAGTTTAGAGTTCAGGCAGCGTAATTGAATTCAGTAACCTGTCACCTAGAATTCTACATTATCCTTTTAATTAGTGGAAATCAATACGTGACGCCAAGGTAGTTCATGCTATTCATGCACACAAAAAATGTGAACTGAATAACTCTGCTGAACTTATGATAATAACTAGATGTTAATGAGCGATATGTAATTGGCCAAGATTATAATCGTCTGCGGGCGGCATACCACCATATCAAGGCATCGGAGGGCATAAAATATTTTTGTTGAAAGTACAGCAATCTTTCGATATAAGCTTGTAAAAGATTGGTTTGTTGTTTTTGTGAGTTTAATCAAACTAAAATAATAAAAGCGACAAATCAGAATATATATGAATCTTATATTTTTGAAAGTATTATTAGAGGAATGTGTCTTTTAGAAAAATAAGATTTTTTTTATTCTATCAAACGTTTACCTTGTATAATAAATCTTGTTCTTGGTTTTGGAAACATTGGAGGTAAACATCAACGGGGGGTATGTCCACATACAAGACGGTCTCAACAAGTTTTGTTTGATTTTCACACATTTCGAGAACCATTCATTCAAAATCAACACATGTGATCCGTTACATCTATGCCATTATTTGTACACAATAGCAACATCTTGCAACTAGAATAAAAGAGATCTTTTTTTAAATTCAAAAGGCATCTAATTTGCCAAAAATGTGTCTTTTGAGTCATTAAAATCTCACTCATTGTCTAGTATTTTCATCATTTTCTGATTCAAAATATTAAAGAATTTATTTACATGGTTGGACGCTGTCACATATATCATACTCTGCTTGTTGAATTTCTTAGATCATTTTTACAATATAAGAACCAGTTTGACTTTAGCTACAAAAATGGTATACCGACGTTTCGGCCCACCAATGCTTGGGAGCGCAGATACAATTATCGACATTGTGCGAGGATCGATACAAGATATTTCGTCAATTTATTAATAATATTATAATTAGTGGAGACAAACTTACAAGTATTAACGAACGCAAGACAATAGTGGAACAGCTACGATAACATACCAGTACCTGTATCAGGGTAATGGTACTCGACCTGTCCTCACTTTTCCAGGTACTCTGACGGGGGTACGTGGTTCCAGTTTCAACGTGAAATATATATATATATATATATCGAGTGATACGAGAGACCACTGTATTATCAGATACGGCGCGTGGTCTACCGCTTCGACATAAAACTTCCGGCTTTTGCTAAACACGAGGCCCGCCGACTTTTGCTGAGCACTAGATTCTCTGAAATATGGTTGCAGAACCACTGCAATTATTTTTTGTTTCTAATTTTGTTGATGTCACCACACAAAATTTCAGATAAAAAAAACGAATCCCATAGAGCATGGGACAATGTGAAATAAATAATAATAATCATTAGCCTTTTGGGGAGAAGAGCAATCTATAAACACTGAAAATTTCAAGGTAACTAACTGGTCTAGTAGTCAATGAGAAAATCAATTTATTCCATAGCAACAACAAAAAAATACTAATAACAAAATGATAAAGAACAGCAACATAGGAACAAAACGATCCATATGTACATATCGTGTCTAATAATAATAGTAAAATATTTCACTTTCATTTACGAATTATTCAATCCGCGCTCGGCCCTGCGTGGGCCGAAATATCTGTAAGTCGTAAAATATAGCCGTTCCTTCAAATCAATATAGATAGAAAAATTCTCGTTGTCTAAATCACGGCTGCTCAATTATTTTTACCGAAGGTCCGCATATAAAACTTCAAAAATATTTGGGTCCGGACTTTCCATAATTATATTTCGGCATTCTCAAACACGCAATTCCTTGGCCGACTAATGATAATGATTATTAGCTAATAAAAATTGTGTGTTATGGCGTTATATTTTTTTCATATATATTTTTAGATCTATAAAAGTGATTTTATAAAGGAAACTTCAAATTTGGGGCTAATGATCCAAATAAAGAATTATGCGCGGTCCGAATCGAATACTCAAAAGGTCCGGATTCGGACCGTGGTCCGCCAGTTGAATATCCCTGGTCTAAATAAAGCAAGTCTCCGTGCAATTCAAATCAAAATTAGCATTGAAACAAATTTTTTATTCTGTCAGTAAAAAGTAGACAAAACAGTGTAAATATGTGCGAAAAAAAACTTGTTTGAGAGAAGAACAGATTTCGATTATGCAAAATCTATGCTATGTATATGCAAGAGGTGCTATGTAGTATTTTTTTTCTTTTGAACTTCAATAGAAATACCTTTTAAAATGTATCAAGCCACATTCAGTACTGGTAATTTTAAATTGCTCAATTTAGCAACAAAAGTTAATCTGCGTTATTTTTGGTAAAGCATTCAAAATAATTGAATCTATGAGTATGAGTTGTCATGCAAAGAGTAGGGCAATGAGCCAAAGCAATAAACGTATGCCCCATTTAGTCTATGGCCAATTTAAGTTTTTTGTGCACTCAAAAGAGTATGCTGAATAAAATCACAGAAAACAACAAACAAAAAAAAAACATTGTGCACTATTAGACACTATACTGAAAAACAAATTAATTCCGAGTTACAAGACAAATGAAGAAATTAGGCATAAGCAGAGCTTAAAGCAAATAATGTTTTTGTTTTCACTCTTAGTCTAGATTTGAATTCATTTCAATATATTACAGATATAGTTTAATACGCTACATATGAACAATTCATAATGACTAATAAATGGTACATTGCAATTGAAAAGTTTAGCAACGAACTGAAAGTATTTCTATTATTGTTTAAAATGATTATGATTTTATGGCTTTAAAAATCAATTTGGAAGAAAAAAAAATTTCGGGACGAACAGGCGGTCATTGGAGTCAAATATTTGTAATGAGTAACACTTGGAGTAAATGCTGGACAAATAAATAAATACAGATTGATATCAGTAACTGCTGAGGACACTAGGTGGTGACGCTAATAAGTCGTTCTAATCCAATCGTTTTGAATCGGAAGTTTTACAGTTACATTGTTATCAGCTCCTGATATATTCAAAATCCTAAATATAGCGTAAATATTGGGAAATATTAGGCATAATAAACACTAAATTGACACGTCAGGTATCTGCCTTGGAAATAGACAGATTTTTACGATAGAGGCAAGCGTATATTCATCCTATTCTATCTTCGGGGGTGGAATAAGGCTATCCGTAAATCCCTATAATGCACAAACTTGGAGGTGAGTGAGTTCAGAACATCGTTAGAAGTGACTGTGTAATTACCTCATTAAGTCTGGTTTCAAATAAATTTTCTACTAACGTTTATGAACAAATCAAGAGAAAATTTATCATGCAGTGAAACAATGAAAATAATAAATTATTAGCAAGACTTAAACAAATAATCAAATATTAAACATTGTCTTCGTTTTGAACTGGTTTGCTAGTACGTGTTTGTGTTCTATGCTGCACTATACAACCAGCCGTATTAAATATACAAGTAGCTGTTACACCGAGCACAATTATATGAAGATAGGAGAATCTGGAATATAATAAGGACATTAAATATAAAAAATCACGAATAATATATTAGACAACAACAACGTAATATAAATTTCGAAAAATGTTACCAATATTTATCTGATTTTTGGCAAATGCAATTGGCCTTCAGTAAATGTGTTACAGTTCGGCAGTGATAATGCAAAAAGAATATTATGGGTTCCACTATAGTGAAATTTCAAATAAGAATAAATATTACCTAAAAGACTCTCTGTCATGTTCTAGACAAGTTGCTGTTCCAATACATCCGGGTGGAGCACTCCACTGTGTGCAGGTATCGTCAATCACCGCACCGGTTATCATCGGTGACGGTATAAAAGCTAAAAAGATAAGCCAAATTAAAAGAAAATCCAATTAAAATGAAGTAATTTTTGAATGTCATTGTATTTTTTCCAGGCAATATTTCAATTTCTCTTGAGGCTTATCCAATGATAAACCTGAAGTAGATTATATACTTTACTATGTATTTGAAAAAAGAACATTTTTCATAGATATCTGGATTAAAATATTAAATTGATAAAGAATTATATATACGGTCTTGATAATAATGATTTTCATGATAACGTTATAATTAATTTGAAACAATACGTAATAATTTGTATAACGTTACTTACCTAAAAGACGAATTATTAAAAATTTTAGTCCAATGGCTGTGCATTTATCTTTGGGTTTCACAGTTCTAAATAAAGACTTTGTATAAATAAACTTACTCAATGGAAATGATTGTTTTTAACAGATATATTAATATTGCCTATTGTAGAAAAGTTATCCGCTACAATGTAGTAGGTATTATTTTTATTTCAACATCGCAAGATGAACCAAAGACCAGTATTCATTGTGAAAATATAGTTCAATGAATATATATAGCTCACGAATATATTGGCAATATAATATTAATATTGGCAAATATATATTGTTATATGGTATTGCACTCATGATTTCACATTGATAAACGCTCTAGAAAAAATATCTTTATACTTCTGAAACCGTGCTACGTAGATCGATAATACAAAACGTTAGCGAAATTATATGTATATAAAAACCATACTGATTGATCTTTGTATAGTGACCTAAAGTTGTTATTTCTGGAGAATGAATATTGCCACCATTTTGACATCATCGCAATTGGTTTGTGACGAAGCATAGACATGGACGTAGTTTTCATTTTAGCGACAAAAACTATGTTTGCTTGTTTTGGACACAGCTCCACTTATATGTTACAAACGTGTCTCAAAGTTCATGATCTTATTAATATTCATAAAAGTTAATAAATAACATTGCTAATCAGCTTATTCAATTTATTTATTTATAAATATGATTTCGTGTATTATTAAAAAAAAAGATAATTTGAGTTTGAATTCTACGTAAAAGCCCAGTTTCTGGAATAATATCGTTTATTTAACCAATTCCCTTTTTTACATTGTAAGGTGTGTCGCGAGGATATATTGAAACCTTATTTTAAAAGAACTACGTAAAAAATTAATATTTTCTTCATACAAATGAAATTATACTAGATCACTATCTCTAAACCCGACATCTAAAGTTTCGTCAATGACTCAAAATGCCTCTGGGAGGAACAATGAAGGCTTTGTGTATTTTATGGGTGTCAGGAAAATTTAGTCTTCATTGAAGAAAGGAAAAGCTAAATAACCGACTAAATGTTTATACTAAACACGTTTCCCAAGGTAAACAAAACTTTATTATGACGGGATAATCAAAATCAAAACATATACACTATACTGTATAGTTATTGTTTCGACAAATTTTGGTTTTTCTTGGTCAAAATACCAAAAAGCAAAATATGCAAAAATGTCTGAATAAAAAGTGAATTCAATGCACTAACACAGGGAAATGAGAATTTCTACTGCTTTGTGCCAATAATGAATTGAAAAACATATTTATACAAACCTTAGAATTACAGAGTAAGACGGTGTAACAATATGGCAACACAGCAGAGCTGCTAAACACATCATTCCGACAAATGCATAGCATTTAGGTCTGCAAATCTCTCCTCGTTCGTCTTTACAGTGTGTTAGGTTGATTTGATCACTTACAGATATGTTCGAACAATGTAATGATTCCTGAAATTTGAAATAAATTTGATTAGATTTTGTTGAAAAGGTTGGTAACATAAATAATCAAATTCAATGCAATAGTCCAAGTAAATAACATTAATATTCCCCTTTTTCGTTATTGTTTTTTTTTATTAAATAATCAGTACGGCCATGGGCACCTCAAAAGCACAATGTTAGCGTTTTCTCGTTGATACACGCTAAAGTGTTACATCAGATTTTACTTTTTGCGATTTTCCAACATTAAACTATAATAACTTTTATATCAAACAAGCACGCTGACTAAGCCGTATATATACCGCTATACCATAACTAACAGATTATTCCGCGCCATTTTGTGGCAAGCAGAAAATACAATCAATTATAAATTAGGTTCGTTTAATTTATAATTTAGATATAATTTTGAACTGTATTTTTGAACTCAAATTTAAAATAATATTGCGGATATAACTTTCGACTTCGTTAGAGCATCCCTCACGGGTAGCACTTGACCCACTAATCCATTTTTGACAGGTTAATACCTGATGATCCAATAATGCAATAAACAATAGAAATATTAATCATTAACAACAAGTGTTGGTTTTGCTTCATTGATTGTAATTTTCCTCTACGATTCCTGTTTTTTTGTTTAATAAGGCACATTATGTGATATTCCCCCAATGTTAATAATAAATACGATTGTCGACGTGCTAACCAGTTTGTAAATTCAAACAACTAATTTTCAATCCCCTGATAAATTTATTTCCTGTATTGATAATAAAAATTTTGTAGTGGTACTTAAATATTGCAAGTTTAAAATTTACAAGCTTTATGCTAGATGTTGTTTCATATTATAACAAATTAAAAACCTACCTGTGGATCGCAATTGATATAATATGTTGGAATTATCAAAAATATTGTAGCACCCGCAGCACACACGATGAAACGTAGAGTTCCTTTTGCACCAAGTTTTGACCTTTGAACTATGAAGCCACCGGAAAATAAACCAATGCAAATGACTAATGGCATGGACAGACCTGGAACAAAAAAATTGTCAATACATAAAACGTATGTTTATAATTGATTTGTTAATTAAAGTGTAGTTTTGAATTTTAACTGAGTGATAGCCTAAATAAACGACACTGTCCAAGGTATTTTATATTTAAAATCTAAATGAATCTCATATTCTTTTGACAAATCACGTTTGATTTTTACGTTAGAATTCGAGTCAATAAATTACTTTTCGAAATTAAATTCACAATTTTGAAAACTGAACTGAAACTGAAATTCTCCAAGATTCCGTTTATTCATTGTATTGTTCATATTTAAAAGCTGCGCGATTCTATATTTCCCAAGTGTTTTGACTATTACTGCTCATGAATTCGGGTTCACTTAACTTAATTTGGTTACGCATACAGAAATCGTGTGCTGTGTTGTGAACATTTTGTCCACTTCATAATTGGAATTCACTCATTTTTACATTTGTGCCATAGTTCAACTATTATCCTCCGTTCATAAGCTGAAATTTGTTTTTCGTTTTGGTTGTGTGTGGCGTTCTAACAACTAATTGATAAATTCCCATGCCAAACACTATACAAATACTTAACGTTGACGCGTTAATCGGAAATACTAACAACAAAGGTGATCACGCTTCACTGAAATTGTTAGTAGGAGTTTATTCTTTAGTAACTCTAGTTTGAATAGGTCTTTATAATGTAATAATTGACTTTACACTTCGTACATTGAGAATGTGCGTTTACTTCAATTCAAATTTAGCATGTATTCTGATATTAATAATTGACTAATTATCAATGAAGAATCGTATAAATATTTTTCACAGTAAAAGTGGAAAATCATTCTTGTCTGTTTTAGGCGCTGTACTTAACTTTTAATCCTTATAAAAATATCCTGCGTCCGGATATGTAAATAAAAAGCTTTGCTAGTTAGATGCTGCATTTGTATGTATATTTCGGTTATGTTAAGAACGATTTCCGTGTGACGTCATCTACCTTACTACTCACTTACGTCATCTGCGCCCGTACAAAAACTTTTAAAAACAGGTCACATCATTATTATGTTTAGTCTAAAACACATTCAGTTCCGTAGAATTAAACTCGATATAAACATTATTTTACTTAGTTGTTTTCAAACTTCTTTGAAAAAAGACTTAAAACCGTGAACTTGATATGGTGGTACAGGGTGTAGCGAAATATCTTCACGTCACAAAAACGCATAATGTCAAAGCCTCATTTTGCGGTGAAAAACTTTTGTGACATAATTTTCTGTTTTCGTGTTCAATGATTCGATGACCAATGTACAGTAAACCAGAAGTGCTCGGACCCACGTCTTATTTGTAATAAAACTTGAAACTTAATTAATGCACCCACCAAATATCATACTGGCTTGCGACTTGCTTTGATAAAAAACGATTTCAAGAAATTTCGGCATGAAAGCAGTAAGTGCCCCGACAACAAACATTAAACCGGCGTATCCCATTACAACTAGAAGATAAACTGGATTTGTCATCAATCTTTTTACAGTTGTGTATAAATCTGAAAAAATAAAAAAAATAAATTATAAATGTTAGCATTGGCCTTGTCGAAATCACCTACACCTTAAATGTGACCTAACTAAAATTTAAACCTAACGTACGTCATTAAAATTTTATGATCTGATAAAACCTTCTACTGATTTAGTATGTGCTGATCATTGCAATTTTTTTTTGTCTGTTCTATATGAAAAAAAGATATTTCGCCTTTACTGTCGCTTTTGTTTATACAATTTTGTTACCAAAATCACAGAAAAACATTTTCATCTCACCAGAAAAGATTTCCATCACTTTCTCCGTTCTAGTTAAAGCTCGTTTTTCTGCAAAAAGACATTCGCTTGTTTTTTTCACATTGCTGTGCTTTCTGAGCAACGTTCCATCCAATGGGATGACGTCATCTTCATCTGTTTGATATAAATAATATTGATACTGATTTCAGTTACGTTGCAAGATCTATAAATTAATGTTAAGTTGACAAATTCAACATCGCTCATACAAATGCAGCCGGGTAACAAAATCAGAATGTCAGCAGAAAAGTTTCCAAGTCAGTAGCAATATCTTTATAACGTCCCGCACTATAAAGTTCAATTACATTTCATTTTATTTCGTGTTAGTGTTTTGTGGTTTTTTAATGGACTTATGTCGTTCGTTCATTGAAAATTATACCCGCACGACAAAATTCGTACAAACAAAAAATATCCAGTATTATTTTTTTGATTAATACGATTAAAAATGAACTTTGGATACTACTACATTTATGTCAACGTTTTTGGTCAAAAATAATATTATAATTAGATAAATAATTACGCAGCACATTTCGAAGACAGGAAAATTAATTAAAAAGTGAATGACATTTCGATATATGCATTTAAAGGTAATATGACAAAAACACTTGTTGAACTAAAAACAAATAAAAGTTTTCGACACTTTATGTAAAAAAAATGGTTGACGATTTTTTGTAATTTTACACTTCTAAGTAAATATTATGAGTTATTACTCTGTATCAGCAATTTTGGTAATATAAAGAGATTTTTTTTTATTTATTATATATATATAATGGGAATTTTTAATTTATTCCAAACAGTTCTCTTGGCGGTTGCAGAACATTCGCTGCAAATTACAATATATATAATCTTTCTGATTCATCATCAACTGTATAAAGTATTTGTTTTAGAAGACCATTAAGCAGTGATTTCAGTAAGGCTAAACAAACAACTATTTTTACTCACTATCTTTCTAACAGATTTGCCAACTCTTCATCCCAACATACTAAGAATTTTTGTAATGGATTGCTACTATTTTTCAGTTTGTGCTCTGTAAATATTTTGTTTTGTATCTTTTGAACAGTAACCTGGGCTGTTTTCTACCAAATGAATAGACGCATCTTTCGTCGTTGATGTCAAAATTTACAAGAAATTTATTTTTTCTATTTTTTCTGGCAGCAAGATTACATCTAGTTGATCGGGGGCACATCAAAGCAAAGGTTAGTACCGATTTATTAAAACGAAAAAAGTTTACGTGCTTCTAACAACCTAACTGTTTTGGAACCCACGTAGGTATGAATATCTTGAGAACATCAGCAAATATTATCATGAAAAAATTATCTTGGACATGTCATCAATCAACATTGTGTCAAATTACATAATGCGATTACCCAATTTACTCAATCTGAATGAACTTATGACTCACAGCAACGTCATGAGACTAATAAGACGTTTCAAGCTCTTTTTTGCTGTTTTACCATTTTTGATTAAATTCAAAATAGAAGCATATTCTTAATTTTTTAAAATATCAAAACAAATTTAACCAATAATTTGAGTCAAAATATTGCATATACTCATATACTTGATAATAACATAATAGCATAAGCATGAAAACATTAAAAAAGATTTTGTACAAAATAATTCATCCCAAATATCGAGTGAATCTGTACATCCCGCGTCTTCCTTGCGTTACCAGAAAATTAGAAGGTGCCGTTAAATCACATTAATCTACATGTATATAGAGCAAAAAGATAATTGCATTTACCGATACCAAAATCCATTTTATTGTTCCCATTTTTTATTTCACGTATTGACTTCTTTCCCACAATGTCCGATTTCTCCATCTTGCGCGGAAACCAAAATAGTGGAATCGCAGTCAAGATGACACACAATCCAATGATGATATATCCCAACCACCAAGCTCCGACCCACGATCCATCATTCATTGTGATTTTGATTTCGCCTAGAGAAATATATTACGTCAGTGATTTTACGATATTATAAAAAAAATCGCAAATCAGTGATTCAAATTCCGAAAAGAAATTTATGTCAAATACTTTTGATACATAATGAAATTGACTTGGAAATAATGCCACAGCGTAATATTATAACCATGACGGGTTGAGAGTTTAAAAAATATATAATAAACCACTTCAAATAACATCCGCAAGATAAAGTTCAAATCATCAATAATGCTAAAATTGGTATCAAACGGGATGAAATTTTTGCAATCGAATATATATTTTAACGAGTATTTGATATGCCATTTTTGTATGTTTTAACTCTGGTAAAAAAATAAGAGCATTATCACATATATCGATAAGATTATATTATTTTTCAGAAAATTGGTAACGACCGTACGACTACTTCTGGAGGAATAACAGTTGACTTGCCGTTGAATGAACACAAATATATATACTTATGTTTGAAACGTTTGCCGGCAGTGGAAAATAGGGGGTATTGAAGCTAATAATGTAAATCGAATGAGAAAATTATATACAGAAAAAGTTTTCGGTCAATTTGCAATAATCCACATTTTTAAAAAACACTTTTTTATTCCAACTTCACACAAATAAAAAATTGTATATATTACAGAAAATTGATATAAATTTTCTCACTTGTATCCACTCGATCAAAATCTACGTACAACATTGTAGTCAATGATCCAACCAAGTAACCAACTCCAGGACCAAGATTTTGTAAAAGGAACATGATACCTGGAAAACGGTTCAAAGTATGTTAATCTTTCAAATGCACATCCAATGGACAACACATTCAAATTGTCTGATCACGGTTGCAAAATAATTTTGTAAGCTCGGTCTTGTGCTACACCTCTATTTAGTAACTCCCACATCTTAATAACACTGTGGATAAAAAGTATAACTGTGAACAGATGCTATAAAATGTTCATTGTTCACTTTGAAGAAGAATCTGGACCTAATCTAAAAATTAATATAGATTTTAATCAGAGTCCAAACAGTCAACAATTAAAAATAGGTTGTGATATCATCGTTGAAAATAAGTAGACATGTTCGAATTGGCCAATTGAGCTATATTTGCGGGGTTTTAACTTATGGTGAGGTGAGGTTGTTATCATAATTAGAAATGTCAAAATCTTGCAAAATAGTAAATGTTTTATGATTTTGTGTGGATTTCAATACTGAACAACTTTGGGTGGGTTTGTTGTAATTAGTCCTCATAATTTGGGGTAAATTATATTTTTATTCAGCCTTTGTTAATAAGTACTTCATAACGGAATGCGAGAACGAATAACCCCCAAGTTTACTGTTCATAATAAGAATCTGTTCTCTTGAAACAGAGGTTGGGCATAATCCATTTACAATTCACGAAGAGGCGAAAGACTGATGGATTAGTTAGTGGAGTGATAAGACATAGTAGGAATTACAGATCGGTGCTAAAAAGACTTGAGAACAAGTACTATAATCTGCGTGTCACCATCAATCAACTGTTTTGTTTTACGCAGTTAATTGGATAAAGTATTCTACAGTCTAATTTCACTTATGAGCTTTAAGAAAAATAGCTTAGCACATTAGCTTTTGAGTAGTTGTTTACAAAAAATATTATCCAATATAAACAATGAGAGTCAATGATCTCTAAGCAACTTGTTGTGATATATATATCTTATTGTTATTTTAATGATATTTTTCTATTTCAAAGAAATAAAAAGATGGAATCTAAAAAATAACAAATTTTAGTGTACTTGGAATTTATTAGAGATCTTATATTTTATTTCTCATTCGAGTCCCTCAATGGAAGAACATATTAATTGACTCCACTTTTCGTCACATATGTATTACATCATTTTTTTAATTCTATCCATATACAAATTATCGATGCCCAAACGACGCACTTTTAGTTATAAGCATTTTCATATGAAATAGCAGATATTTATTCAAGTGGAATCTAACTTACTTATCTTGCAATCTAACTTACTTATCTTGCAATCTTGGAATCTAACTTACTTATCTTGCGTGGCAATATATCAACAGATAATTTCTGACTTCTGAAAAACCCCACATGTATTGTAAAACTGCTTTTGTGTTTTATTTTCGTGGTGAACTGATTTCTTATCAGTAAACAGCGTTAAGAGACGGTACCAAGTCGTTAGACGGTACTGTTAGATAAGTGAGGGATTATTATGTATGCATAATTTAATGTCAAACCTTTAATTACTTGTTTAAAGGAGACGTTGGGTATGAAGCGTGAAGACAGTATCTATTTTTATTCTTGTCTTGAGGGTAAATTTAAAATATTGTAAATATATTACGCTAATGTTCTGTTGTCTTAAATTCTTGAATAAAATCCGTTAGTCTGATCAGTTCACCTATAATCATGATTAAATCGCGTCCCTTGCACATACGGATCCATGCGTTTTGAACGTTAGCCTATATACAGTATAGATAAAAATCACTATACAATCGAAAATGTTGAATTTTGGAAGGTGCTAATAACATTGGAGACGATCGAGTATTTGACATTCAATTATTGTATTCGAAAATAATTTTTACTGATGTAAATTATAATAATAATATATGCATACTGCAAAAGGACTATTCTGAACTACTCATAATTTTTCTGGTTTGGTATATGATAAACAAAAAATTTGATATATAGGTATATATCAAATGTCGGTTATATATATATATCGGCCAAAACAAGATCGTCAATTTTAGATTAAGACATTTTTTTTAACTTTTTTTTATCAATGGGAATGTTTTTTAGGATAGAATTCGATTATAATTCTTTTTTCTTTTTATATATAGTTGATTGAGTAAAAATGCTTACCTAAATAAAGGGGCGATTTTCCAGATTTCGCAAAATCGTCAATAAATGATGAACCAAGAGGTACCAGAACGGTTGCGCCGATCCCCTGTAATAATAAAATAAATCAATTCCAATAGTCTTACTAGCAAACTCTACATATAACCAGATACAAAAATTCCATGATCACAATTATAAAATGTTTTCGAAAGCTTGATCCGAAAAAATGTCTCCGAGTAGCAAAGAGTTTTGTATAGTAGGGCGGGGGAAGATAGACACACGGGGTTAGATGGACACTTTTTTTCAAATTGACCTATTGGCGACATCTTATGGGGCTTGGTTCTGCAAATGCCATTGCCGAGTTCGTTGCTAAGGAGGGAATTCGTTCTAGCCATTTCGGTTCAGCGCTTGGCGTAGTTCGTCAGTTGTGTAGCTTTCCACGTGGCTTGTGATTTTTGAAGGGTGAAAAAAGGGCATTTAGTAAGGACACGTTTTTCTTGGAGGCACTATATGCTCATTTTCAGCGAAGGAACTCTGAATCGCGCGTTTGTTGGTAAGTTTATACTTACTGACAATGATTTAGGACTAACTGAGCGACTTGTGCCATCTAGCAGCTAACTATATCTTTCAGCATGTGATCATGTAAAAATGGGGGGTTATGAGGGGGTAATAAATTTCTTGCGTTTTTCGGGCTTATATTTACTTTGACCGTTCAAACCCGTTCTTTGTGAATAAGATACCAGAAAGTCTTCTTTATAATTTTGTTATTGCTTTTACCTGTCAAAACACTTCTTGGATAATCTCAATAATCTTATGAAATTATGGGGGGTGGCCATCTTACTCTTATGTACTATCATGTTTTTCCAGATGCAAGTTTTGGATGCACGGGAAACAGAAAATCCTAAAGAATGTTGAGAAAATACCAAAGAATATCAAACAGAGGCAAATAACAAATAGAGACTACGATGTACCATCTCATGAGGTTAACACCACGACAGAGGTAGAAAGTGTCACAAGTGAACCATGCTGCTCTGTGCTCTCTAACGATTTTTTCAAGTAGAACTTCACTAGGAGTTCAGTTAGTTTCTGATAAAGTCAGTGATTCTTTGAGGCAAGAAAATAGCAGAGACCTGATAGCACCAGTTTATCATTTGAATATATTTGCCTCTTCCAGTAGCCACTCAGAGAGCCAAGAGGCAAAGAAAGCCATTCAGGCAGGAATTAGATTTGAGTGTTAACAAGTGAGAATTATGTAGCCGAACTGTCAGCACTCGCAGAAACAACGCCACCTAGCTCGTTCAGGAAAACTACAGCACTCGCAGAAACGATGTCATCTAGCTCGTCTAAGAAAGTTGCAGCTCCCAGGAAGAAAAAAGGAAATAAACGTAAGAACGAGCGACATGAAAGATATTGTTACAGTAACCTCTGTGCTGTCTGCAAGGTCAAATATTTTGACGACGAAGAGGACGAGGGATGGATTCAGTGCCAGAAATGCCAAAAGTGGCTTCACGATATTTGTGTCGGGATTTATGGAAAACACATTGTGTCCTTCCAATGTGATGACTGCTCTGCCTGAAGCTTTTTTGTATAAATATTTTCATTCGAATGTAAAATTCCATGACGATAGCTTTCATGCATATCCCAGATGTTCTTTTGGTGTTATGATTAAGATTTGTGTGAAAGTATGATCAAATAAAATTTGGCTGCTTTACTAGGTGGTGTTTTATCATACTTTCGTGAACAATTATATGGGTTCACAACTTCAAAAATTTAAGGGGTAAGATAGACATAGGGGGAATTTTCGAATGCCCCAAAAAATTTTCCAAATACATTGCATATTTTGATATTCTGATAAGAAACAGAACGCAATACTAGTATTTTGATGCGATTTTATTACATGTCCGTCATATCCGACCATATGTCCAACTTCCCCGAATTTTTTTTTCGCTTAAAAACGTTTCTGCTGTTGCGATGGTTGGAGACCGGCGGACGCCGCCGAGTGGCTAAAGAGTTCAGCCCCTTATGTTTGTACTTGCAAAGTTTTAGGAATATTTGAAGAAAGGTTTTCGAAATATAGATAATTTTCAATAAGGGGGGCCATCATCCCCCGCCCTACTATATATTTTGAATTGGGTTCATCAACTATCTTAAACGCAAAAGCGATTCAATCAATTTAATGAAGATTGGCTATGCACGGCGCCAAGTCATTCACCTGAGAAAAGTACAATATATTACATATTTTAGTATATGATATCCGTATCTTGCAAACCCGTTTTACAATACCCCTCTCAAGAGAAATAAATTCATCTGAATTTCTTCAATGATTTATATAAGCGACAACATTGAGGCATTGCCAGATGGAGTAAATATTCGATAATCGCGACTTGAAAGTTATAGGAAATTCTAAACCCAATTCAAATACTTACTACTATTTTTCACTTTTATTGAAACAATAAGTATAGCTAAATTATTGATACTGAACTACAAGTTAAATATTTTCTGAAATTTTTGTAAGCCTACCTACACTATTATATTGCATAACAATGCGGTTTAAACTTTCGTCTAAATTATTCCTTAGGACCGGTAGCAATTTATAAAGTGAAATTATCCTTATCTCCATTAAACGCAATTTCGTTAGATGAAAATGACGTCTGCGGCCTTATTTGAAAATAGGCTTATTACTAATATCAACAACAGAAGTTTTATTATTGTTTGTCTGAAATTTTAATATCGTCTATATAGTGCAGTCTCGGTCTCGGGGACCTAAAGTGATCGGTAGTAGACCGTTTCCTAGCGTCAGATATCTGAATCCCATTCTTGTTGTAGAAAAAAGTTTAATCTATTTCCCACAGCGGGTCTATTGCAAAATAAACCACCAACCTGCAGCATTTCACCGAGTACAAGCAGCACGTAAATATTAGAACTTGAACATGATGGGGCGACGCTGGTTTCAGTAGAATCAAGAAGAATTGTTGAATTAAAAAGCATTTCTTTGTCTGAAATCAAAGTAGGATCGTAGTCTGGGCTGACTATATGAGGAATGACGTTCACGAATCCTCCTAAAGCTATTACCATTGAACCTCCAGCCATTATGCGAGGTCGATGTCCATTGCTGCTTAGTTTGCTCACCTACAAAAAGAAACAAATAAACTGTCAAATATACAAGTAGAAAGCCCCGTGACTCATGTATGATATTTATTCGTCATTCTTCGAATGATTTTTATTTTTTGTTCGAATTATACAGAAGAAGCAGGGAAATTTAAATAGGCCAGATTGTATAATTCATTCGGATTTTCAGTAACGATATTTTGAGTACTACACAACTATCTCTCTAGTGGTAATGTGCACAGTAATCTTTCAACAGCTATTACATTAGTCATTTTTGTTCGTGACTAAACTGAAATTTTTAGACGCACTCAGCCGTATCTGCATTGTCTATGAACGAAAATTCATTTCTTATGAGTATATCCCCTTTAGTTGGTAATATCACTTTAATTAATAATATAGTTGGACACAGCTTGAATCAAGTAATATATCGCGCCCAGTGAAGTAAAGCATTCATGTACACAGTATTTACGCAATACGTTTTATTTTACGTGACAAAATTTTCATTGTACTAGAAAACTATGCTAATTGAACATGAGTAGCAGACTGGAACGATAGAGGGTGAATGACCGCTGAAAACATAAATTTGTCTTTCAAAGTCATATATCATGCAGCTGTCATCATGAACGAAATTTGATGGTATTTGATCATGAAATGAAATAGTATTGAAATAACTACAATATACTTCAGAACATCATCTTGTCTACAATATCACAAGCTTATATGAACCATATCAAAATGAAAACGAGTATTTCTCATCATTACGCAATACATAGTTTTTCTCAATTTAAAACATACCAATGTGTTGTACAATTACATGGCAATTTTCTTTGAAGTGACCTTGAAAATTACTCGCCCAAATTGTCAAAAGATTTACCAAAAAACCGCTTCCTATCGTTAAAAATAAGCCGCATCGCATGGATAAACTGCAGATATGTTTGTGTCACAATCATTCAAACACTTTCTATGTTTTAGTGTATGTGAATCTTAATATACCATCATTGTATGGTGTCTCAACAATGACAGCGTTATGTTTAGTGTATATATACTTCGATAATTTCTGTCAAATGCAGTGCATTTTTCGCTTTTCAATATCTAGTCGGATGTGTAACCAAATAATACCTCCTTGACACGTTACCGCCGTCGAAAGAGCGTGAAAAAGAAGGCCTATAGATTTTTAAAGATATTCTTTTGTTACAAGATATTTGACAAAATACCCGCATTTTTGTGGCGAGCCGGGAAAATCGTATAATGTGTTGACAATTGACACAAAAAGCCTCATGCAAAAACGATAGGTTTGATCCCGCTATTGAATTCTACACCAGTCATTATCAACTTTAGCTTATGAAGTAAATTCATACAGCTTGGCAAAATAATAACTTTCTATTTCTATTTCACTATTCTAAGAAAGATGGGTACTAGTACCCAGCAAGGAACGACATTTATGAACGGAGCCTCCACTATGAAAAGCCCATCTGGTCAGGGAATACATGATTCTAGGAAAGATATTTGACCACGGTCTTCGATCGCTTTTTAACTAGCTGGCTTTCGCGTAGCTAATCGCAATTCATATTTGGAGGATTTGTTATACAATTACTGTAGTTTATACTTTATAACAGGAAAAAAATTCATTCTCTAATTGAAATATCAGACTAAACATCCAGACAGACTTAAATCAGACAATCAAACAAAGCCAGCTGTGTCTTTGTGTCCATGCGTCATATCACTTTTATTTACCTTCCCCAGTTAATCCGTCACACATACTTAGCAATTTTCGAAGATTGGAATTATTGCGGTGCATAGTTAACGCATAGGCGTTAAAATAAACCCCACTGATATATTTCCAGATTGTACAAATGGGTTGTTTATGTTGTCCCAGGCATGGGGTGTTCATAACAATGATGTTAGTATCAGTTGCATATATTACGCCAAGCCAGATTTACAAATACCATAGAATATTAAGATGTTACGTTTCAATTCAATTTTACAGTGGAATTTTCAGAATAGGTATTTTTTATCAACTATTTTGACTTAACCCAATCTAAAGCTCTATCATACTGAACTTATCAATACATATTATATAATATTTGCTAACTTTTGATTCAAAAATATTAATATATGTAATTGTTTGCGTCCTAAGAATGTTGCTTGACAAAAACGTAGTAAAAAAAATTAGAAAATGCAGTTTAATTCTTGCAGACCAACTTTAAATGATTTTTCACATTTCGTTTTTCTAATGAGTTTTATGAGAGATACAAGTCATTTTGAACCCTTACCGTGAAGGCAGGAATGCAATTTTACCTCATTAATCATTTTACATAAATCATATCCTACGCATGGACTCTCCTAAACGTGATAATATTCATAGGTGCGCACCCCAACGAGAAATATTAGATTTTCTGATCATTGAGATAAGCTATGCAACATGCAAAAATCTCATACACTCTGATACAATTCTTTTAACTTGTGCTAATATGCTCATTTATGATTCAATTTAATAACACCATATTTTGGTACAATTTAAAAGTATTGTGACGTAAGACATTGTGGAACTGAAACAAAACGAATCTTACCAATACAACAAATAGCATATTCCCAAAGTTGAAAGATCCAACGATCAATCCTGCCAAAGAACTTGATATCTGGAATCTTCTTTCGATCGACGTCAAAACACTTTTTGTATAAATTGACAATGCATTTTGTGAACACATAAGCACCCCGGAAACAAAGACAAACACTTGCAATGTTAAAAAAGTTCGTTTTCCCGCAGAAATTTGAGATTTTCTCTGCTGCCCGTTATTTTCGTCGTCTATTGGAAGTGTTTGGTCGTTCGCGATATCCTTTTTGACTAATTTAAACATTTTTACTTTTTTTAACCTGTTGGTATATTGAATTTAATTAAACTTAATAGGAAAACGATTTACTACTCATAAAACACCAAACTCTGCTATAGATGCATGTATTCCATCCATCTTCCGTACATTCTTGCAGACAGTATGCATAGAATTGACACAACCATCTAATTTAGAAGGTAAAGCTGAAGAAGAGAGTGGTTGGCCCTGTGGCAGTAAATTTCGAATAGGGTTTGGCTAAAGTTTATATTAGGTAGACATATTTCTATTGTATGTTATTGTATGTTATAGACTACGATATAGATTTTTTTTTTGCTTAAATCAAACCATCAAATCTTCCGCTTGTTCTAATATATCGTGTTTCTGATCTGTCCATATCTTCTGCACCTGTAGTCTGTAAGCTTGAATTACTTCAAGGGCGCAATTTATACAGCACAAAATTTAGTCAGAAACTACAGGGAGTCTCAAATGTTTCATAACAATCATTGTTTTCATGTTATGCGAGCTTTGTTTTCTCGGAAAACAATTAATCATCAAATTTTTTAGGGGAAGACGAATCGGCCCCAGAAGCATAACTCAACCTCTTCCCTGCTAACCTCAAAATTCCCAAGCAACAATCCACGGATTTAAATTATCTATCAAATTTTTTGTTTTCTTTCTCAGACCTAATTCTGAAATGCGCTTTTACAAATTCGTTTTGAACTTGATTTGCGCAAACAAAGAACATGCAGTGTCGTCTCGGTGAAGAAACACCGTCTCGCTTTCTTCGTCATTTGTTTATATGTTTACCATAAGTAGACCGGAGCGACGTATTTTTTCGGAGTTTCTGCTACGAAAGTGACAGGTCACGTTTGTATAATATTATGACGCTTCGATGTTAGTTTTTATAAAAAAAAATTGATGCTTTCAATTAGAAGCTGTGTAAGTTAAGAGAATTCGTACTATAAATAACCAGTTCTGTGATAAAATTTATCTGATCTATATTAAAAAATATAAATGATTCCAAATTAACGATGATGACAAAATTGTAGCTATTTTAATATAATGGTGACTATCCGTTCTATATTGTTGCGCAGACACAATGACTCACTGAAGTAACCGTACCAATCAAAACACCTCATCGTATATATCAATGCCGAATTGCTTGAATATAATTAGCATCTAAATTCCCAACGTTTTTGGTCGTTCAGTTGCTTATTCATGCTCACTAGAGCTATAGCCTACAAGAATGAATTCACGAACCGAAAATTGTTCAGTTAAAAAATAACGATGGATAAAGTGGATTTACTTTTCAGGGTCGACCTCTGTGCAGAAGCCATCAATACAAATACCATTTAGTTTCAGGGCGCTGTAGGATAGAAATTGTGAATAAGGCAATCAGAAATATATCAGACAGACACAACGTATTGAAGAAGATTGCCAACGCCACCATGCGGTGTTCAACTCGAAACATAATATTGTCCGTTAATTGTTCAGAGATTCATTTTAATTATTTTAACAGCAATATTTATCAAATTTTTTCTAAATATGTTTTGCAATTATTTATGTATGCAAAGTTATAAACATGATTAATATTATACAAACAGCTGCTAGACGCCTAAAATTAGTTCCCAATTTTTTTTTATGTTATATTTCGATCTACATTGATCTGCTCTCTTGAAAGAATTTTTATCACTCCTGTAAAAAGATTTTTTCGCTTCAATACTGACATCAACATTTACAAATTCAAGTGTTCTATTTTTAAAGGTTAAATATTAGTGTTGATTGATAAGATAGAATAAAAGGATGCAATATTCAATATCCGATTTCTTGTCGCTTTCGATTGAATTCTAATTCATCAAATGGAATTTTTAGGAAGTATTATAGGCCATCACCTTTAAGTACAGCAGATGTGTCATGTAGAGTTCTAAAAGTGTTTGTGTGAGTCATTGTATCTGTACAACATTGTGGAAAGAATAGTCATCATCAGACTAAACTAACGGCAATTTTGTCATTTGCGTTTAATTTGAATGATAGGTGTTTTCTAATATTTTAGATAAGGTGTTATCACAAAACCAGTTATTTATAGTATACAAACTCAGTCATCTAATTTTGATTAACATTGAGTTGTTTTGTTCAAACGTGACCTACCACACTTATAACAGAAACTCCAAAACAATACGTCGCTTCTTCCGTCTAGTTATGATATATATACACATAAACAAACAAGATAGCAGAGCTCGAATATATGGCCAAGGCCAAAACGAAGTAGTACGGGATACGGGTGCGCAATCTTTTACAATATTGGTACCTACACTTCCCGACGGATCACCTGAACGCAACGAATGCAAAAGCGGGACCGCCACAAAATACGCAATTTGTTATTTCGATGGCGCCATCACACAAAAATTCGTGGTGAAAAGCGAATCTCATGAAGCCCACAGAAATTTTTGAAATAAATAAAAGTAATAGCTTTCTACTGACAAAAACAATTTTAACCAGCACTGAAAATTTTAAAGAAATTGGTGCAGTAGTTATAGAAAAAAGCGATTTCTTAACAACAACAATAGCAAGAAAAAATGTATATATATAAACTGACCACAACAACATGATACCAAACCGATTAATGGGTCAACTTCGTGTCCAATAATAAAGTATACACCTAAGTGAGTGATTTTTCATCCAGACGGTACTGGGTGTTCTTTGTTTGCGGCAAACCAAATTCAAAACGATTTGGTAAGAGTGCTTTTTAGAATCACAGCAAAATATTGCCGAATCGTTCAAATCAATTGGATGCATAGCTTGGGGATTTTAAGTAACTCCGAGAAGAGTTTGATTTATGGATTTGGGGTAAATTTGCTTCTTGTATTACCTGCGGCAGACGCATATGGGAATTTTTTACTTTGATTAATTTGGTGACTATGAAAAAAATAACTAATGTATTTGTATTTTAAAGTGATTTTGATGGGTAATATAAAATACCCCTACTAAATCATATTGCAATCTCATACAATAAATATTGAAATTATCGGAACATTTTCGAAAAACTGATAAAATGATGAGTTTAAAAGGCAGAAAAACTGAAAGGCTGTAAACTGAAAAACGCCAGAAAAACAAAGGTTTAGCATGTACACAATAAGAATCGTGTTTTTGGCCATAGTTTGATATTCGCCCTTCAACTCCTATCGAATACATTAGGTATTTTTTAATCATATCCAATCGCTTGAAGTAAAAATTTCTCATATGGGCTCACCACCTATAGTACAAAAAGCATCTGTGTTTCTGTTTGTTTATGGGCTATTAAAAACTCATTTTCGTCTTCGTAATTTGGGGCAAATCCTATTTAACCCGGCTTTGTGGTCAGTTAGGAGAGTATATTTGTGTTGCTAGTTTAGTAAAATAGGAAGCAAAACTAAAGATTGACCTTCACTGTCATCATTCAACCAAGGTCAAAACTCTAAACCTCAAAAGATGAACAAAGATTGCAATGTTACGATATAGTCACGAGGGTGGTTCTGGTATAAACCTATGGTTTGTTTCAATACTGATTAAAACTATAACTAAAACTAAAATGCACACAGTATTCACAACGTTGGGTAAATATAAATTAGTTATGTATGTACATTAAATGTAAAACAATTTAATATAAATTAGCTAAAATATTGGCAAAAATACATTTTCTTGGTATTATAATTGGAATTGGATAAATGAAATTACTGATTTGTTAAGTCATAAATTTGTTTTGCACTGCGTGGTAGGAATGAATTGTGCTTCATTTTATTACATAAGAATGAGTTTTTGGCGTCACAATCACAACAACGCAAGATCAAAGAAAGTGTACGCTGAGTTTCAATTGGCACTTATTTTCCTCTTTTAGTTACTTTTGAGTTAGGACTTGGATGGAGGATATTAAAAAAATGTAACACACGAAAACTCGACTGTCATCCAAGTACCCCTGGAAATCTTCTCGTGAACCCCTGAGGGTTCGCGAACCCCAGGTTGAGAACCCCTGTAATCTAATCAATTTAGATTATGTTTCCTATCCCATTAATAAGTTATTTACGGTATTTAAACCCGGTCACAACGAATGCAAAATTTGATAGAGAAAATTATTGTGATTGAATAACGGCTGCACTAATTGACTTTCATATCTTTAGTTTTTTATTTTAATTCACCTAAAACTTAAAATTTTTTGGGAAATTAAAAGGACTAAACCTATACCGGAAAATGGTAAAATTCATTAGTTAACGACAATATATAAAAAAAAACAGAAAAATAATGTGAAATTGATATTGATGTTTGCATATTAAAATAATAGAAGATATATTTAAGTTCTAACATTGCATTATGAAATAGTACAATAAATCTAACGTTAAGCAATAACGTATACGATACGATATCTCAATAATTTTCAAAAACAATCCTGTTACAAAAACCTTAAAGATGGGTTATCACGCGAACATTTTTATGGAAAATTTGATTCTATATATTTTTTTAAGATTTTCAACGTTTACCGCTTGCATAAAGTGGACTCAGTTTTCTACTTATGAATTTTTAAAAACCGCTATAACGAAAATCGACCCAGGTTCGGAAACGGCCTTTGATGACGTAGTAGTGAGAACTCATTCCAGAAATTAGCTCCCACGCCATTGGCGAGTAAGGTGTTCAACCTCTGTTTTCGGCGTTTAAATCTAGTTTCTCATCGCGTAGTTTATTAAAGACTGAAACAATAATGTATTGTTAAACGTGAATGCTAATGCACAAGAACTTCTGAATGTGAGGAGATCAAGCCACGGCGTTTTATGTAATGATCGTACCGGTACTGACCACCCGTCAGAAGGCTTTGAAGAACTGATCCTAGAGTAAGTATTCACCACTTTATTTCGTTTATCGACTGTTTGATAAAATATTTAGTCAATGCAATGAATGCATGATGATACCACCGCACACTTTTGTATGAATATGAATTTGTATTTATTTCACATTATTATGCAACAAAACACTGTTGTATGTTGAACCTTACTAAACCGTCTGGTGATATTATCCTAATCTTTTTTTATG